GTCATGGACCTGACTCTGGGTTATCACTCAGGCAGACAAATGTGTATGGAAGAATAAGCGATCGACTCTGATTAAACACATTTCTTAGTGGCAGAAGTGACTAATGCCCTATCAAAAGCTATAAAACACAATTTATCCTGAAGACAAAAAATTAATCAATTTTTATTTGGCTGGTTAGAGGAAGCCACTCAAGATTAGCAGCAGCTGGGAGCAAACGAGGGATAAACAGAAGTAAACTGCAAAGAACACTGTGTGGCAAACCCCAGCGAGGGGGGAAGCACTCAGACCCGACAGGGAGGTCTTCTGACCTGTTCTGGCCCTTTGTCAAACATCTTCCTTGTCCTGGGGAACTGGTGGGAGTGGGGGGTGTACTGCACACCCACGTTGCCCACGTTGGCAGGACGCACACCCGCGATGTCCCGACTCACAGGCTGTTTGGTCACGTCGTTGGTCAGGCTGGAGCTGCTCGTGCTCGTGGTTGGAGGAGACCCTCTGAAGGCCAGAAAAGAGAGAGAAGATTAGGCACTGCTGGACACCAGACTAGGCATGTGAATTATGTTACTGTTAACTTGTTTCTTTCGCATGTGAATTATGTTACTGTTAACTTGTTTCTTTCTTAGGAGATTTATGTTTCACTGTGGTGTTTTCTCTACAGAACAACACAACTCCCACATCTCCTCCAAAAGCCAAACAACCCCAAAACAAGAGTGAACTTCGACTGTGCCAACTCCAGACTGAGGGGAAGAATATTAACGCCTTGAGAACCTGCAGGTACAACAGTCACACCCCAACAGGTCACAATGCCCAACCTAAGTCACCCTGACCAACCACTGCATTTCCATGACGGGACTGGAAGTTCTGTCCCACACAGAAACACATCTGAGTTGAGACAAACTGAGATTTCTCTTGTTGCACAGTTACACTGTACTATCAAACACACCTAAAAATCCATCACTGTGCAGTTCTGGGCTCCACATTCCAATCTTACTGGTGCACAGTGATTATGGGAGCAGCAGATCTGATCTGTAGTATTTTCTCTTGGAGGGAAGCTTTGGGAAATAATCACATTTTCAGAGTAGCTCTGCCCATACCACTCTCTGTGTCCCTGCAGTTTAGGGCATGTTGCCCATCAGATATCCCTGGCTTTTGTCAGCTCAAAGGGCAGGAACAGCTCAGACTTTGATTTGGACACCACAGATCAGACCAGGTTACACCAGTCACCATCACCCCTTTCAACTCACCTTTAAGCATCCAGTGGGGCTTGTTACTCTTTATCCTAAGAAGGAAAACAGGAAGAAACTCCCCACCTTTTCCCAGAGCTTCCCTTTCTGAACACCAGTGCTACCACAAGAAGCCATGGAGCCCTTGGCACGTTCCCTCTCCCTGGAGCAGTTTGCTGTGACAGTGCTGGGCAGGGAGCACCAACCCACTGGCAGAAGGAGCAGGAAGGCTGTGCTGGCACTTACCCCACTTGGTGGATGTGCATGCCCTTGTTGGTGGGGCTGGCAGGGGCCGACTGGGTCAGCGAGGAGGTGTCCAGGATGCGCTGGGGACGAGCATTGACTGTGGCCTAGAGAGAGCACAGGGAGCCCTGAGTGGCTGCAGCACAGCCCTGGCACAACCACACTCCTGGGGCTGCCTGGGGTAAGCTCTCTGCAGTGTGTGTGGCGTTTAAAACATACATGAAGAAGCCTCTGTGCTGCTCCCAACACACAAGATGATTTTACTGCTTGTTTGGTCAGACAACACTTACCAGAAAGTGCCTTTGTGCTGCCTGCACAACACATCAGCCTTTCCCTGAGTCAGCTGCAGCACCTGACCTGCACCAGCACCCCAAAGTCCATGGCCAGAGGGCAGGGGACAGCCTGGGGCTCCCCCCAGCCCCCAGCCTCTCCCTCCCACCTCGTGACTGAGGCTGCAGCTCCCACCAGGACCATAAGCCACACACGTGTTCTGAGCTCAGGAGGGACCTTCTCACTCCCTACAACTGCCTGGAAGGAGGCTGGAGCTAGGTGAGAGTCTCAGCTTCCAGGTAACAAGTGAAAGGACAAGAGGAAATGGCCTCAAGCTGCACCAGGGGAGGTTCAGGTTGGATACTGCAGAAAATTCCTTCCCTGAAAGGACTGTCCAGCCCTGGCAAAGCTGTCCAGGGCAGGAGGGGGAGTCACCATCCCTGGAGGGATTTAAAAGCCATGAGGATGTGGCACTTGGGGATATGGTTAGTCGTAGTCTTGGCAGTGCTGGGGGAATGGCTCAACTTGATGATCTCTGAGAGCTTTTCCCTAAATAATCCATAATTCAGCCTCAAGCCTTCCATTAAAAACACCTGCACGAAGCAACCTGGGAGGAAGACTTTTTGATTTTAGAAAGTCTTTAGAGGCCAACACTGATTTCTGGGTCCTTTTCTGTTTGCTTTGGTACTAGCAGAAAGCATGTCTGGGAGCTTTCCAAAGCTCAGGAGAGCTGTACCATCCCAAGCTGCATCACAAACATAAATCCCAGCCCAGCCGCAGTCTGGGTGAGAACCAGCAGTGCCTGATCAGCCCAGGGAATGAGGCTGCAGATCTCCTGCAAGAAGGCTGCAGGGCTGGACTCCCACTCATGGGCTGCTCACACCCTGCACACACCTTGAGCTCTCCTGGAGACACAGAGTCACATTCACAGCTCTGAGAGAGAACCTCCACAGGACTTGCCAGTTTGATTTGAGAACAACAATCACAGAATCATCCCTGGAAGTTTCCAGGCCAGGCTGGATGGGGCTTGGAGCAACCTGGGCTAGTGGAAGGTGTCCCTGCCCAAGGCAGGGGGTGGAACTGGATGAGCTTTAAGGTCCTTCCAACCCAAACTACTCCATGGTTCTATGATATTGAGTTCGCCACTACCATCCAGAGGTAGAAGGCCATGGCTAGTTGGTTCAGGTCTTTCCACTGAGGCCCCTCAGTACCATCCAGGGTCACACAGATCACAGTGCTCAGCTGTGTCAGTGGAAAGGAACAGCTGTCCCAGCTCCGAAATGAAGCCTCTCCCTCCCTGAATTCTGCATTAACTAGACCCAGATATTAAATCTCTAGAACACTCAAGTACTTTACTTCACCTGAAGCAGCATTTTTGTTTAAGTAAGAAAACCCATCTTCAACTGTATTCCCTGACAAAACCCAAGCCCCAGACTGGGAAGTGTTTGTCTAGCACAGGGAGGAGCGATGGCAGCCAGGAGCTCCCTTCTACCTCCAGCAAAGCTCCAGCAGCACCAAGGAAACACCTCAGGACACAGTCAGCAAAGATTTAATTGTCACTCATTTGCATTAGACACCAGACAGGTCCTGCCTGAGCTCCCAGCACAGAGCCTTGAGCCCCAGCTGTGGGTCCTGCAGCACCACTCAGCAGGGCCAGAATGAAACCAGTAAAGGCCAGAGCACAGCCTGGGATCTGAGCTCTCAACTCCATTTTGGGCAGTTAATAGGCTGTTTGGTTTGTGTTTTGGGCAGATTTAATAAGAAAGCCTTGTGAGAAGCCACCCAAGCCAGGTGGTCCTGGCCAAAGCAAACCCACGGCACCACATGCGCAGCAGCTGCCCGAACCACTGGACAAACCCCGTGTTTAGCACTTCCCTTTTGGATCTGATGGCTAAGGCAAAGAAGAACAAGTAAAGTTTTGTTCACTGAAGCATCCTGGAATGCTTCTTGTTTTCCAAAGCCATTGCCTTAGGAAGCAGGGACAGAGCAGCTGGCAGAGCATGAGATGCATGAGACCCATCACCTGAGCTTTGGGACTCCAGTCAGCACCAAGACAGCTTGGTCCAAACTTGTCAGAATCAACACAGAATTCACCCAATCAGTCATAACATTCCCTCGGGATATCCCAAGGTAATGACCACATTTCCTGCTGGCACCAGCAGTGCCAGTGGGGGTGGCTGCAGGGCACAGCAGCACCTGTATCGATATCAATATCGATATCAATCCATCTCTCCACTGGCCAGGAAGCAAGTCCTGAAAGAATATTTAAGTCAGGAAAAGCAGATCTGTTTCCTCTTCACATCCCTTTTAACAGCAGCAGTAACACTTCATTTTGCAAAGAGCCTTCCAAAATATAGCACTGAGATTGTTTCATGCATCTAGAGCAGAGAGAGGGAAATCTTCCACTTCTTCCTTTCCTTCTTCCCCTCAGTTTGGCATCTCCAGCCTGGCAGTCATTTGTTGTACCCCCATCTCACCAGGGAAGGGCTGAGCTCACTGCCCCCACTGCCAAAACCACTCTCTATCCCCAACCAGCCCTTAGCACTCACCAACACATACACTTCAATCAAATACAGGAGTTCAAATAAGTAACTATTGTCTTAACAAAATGAGATTTAAAAGCAAGAAGCCTCTAAGGTATTAAGATGGCAGTGCACAATGCTGGCATCTCTTACTGCAGCTCCAGCTCAGAAGCCCAAGGCTGAAGGTTTGGGATTCCTGGCTGGAAATGCTCAGTAAGAGACATCACCTCGCATTGCAATGGCTCATGGTCTCAATGCTTGAGCGACCAGAAAGCAGGTCCAGCCAGAGCTTTCTGCCCCAGCCTGGGCTGAGGGAGGCAGTGGTGAGAAGATGTTCTGGGGTGGCCTGGTGCTCTGGGCTGGGGGGTGAGGTGCTGCCCCACTCCCCATCAGCAGTGCTGGCAGCCTCCAGGGACATCTTGTCACCCTCGGAGGATGAGATGGGATGAGGATGGAGCTTTAGGCATCAGCCTGGGCTGGAGGTGAGGGGTGGCAGGGGTGTCTGCATGCTGACTCACATGTACTAGTTCACCTGGGTTGGAGAGCCGTTGTGGCTTCAGTCTGCAGGCCAGTCCCACTTGCATTATCTAAATCGGTTTGCAAACGGATAATTTAATGAAGGATATTTAAAGGTTTATCCCAGGGACTGATCTAGACAAGTAGACTTCTAAACCAGACCTGTTGTCAGAGGTCTGCACTTCATTTATACCCTAAAGCACCCCCAGGCCCTCCCCCATTTATTCATTTTACCTGAGTTCATAGGAGAGTTTATCATCCTGAAGCATTAAAAGCTCCTTGTGCAATAGGCAGAGCTCTCCAACGGACCCATCCAGGTCAGTCTGCCTAAGCCTTGCCTAAGCATGAGAAAATCCACATCCAAACACACCTGGCAGGCACAGGTGAGCAGGGACAGGCACATACCTTGTAGGCAATGCTGTTGAGAACCTTCATCGCCAAGTCGGAGACGTCGGGGTAGGGGTCGGCAGCCAGGTGCAGGAGCACTCTCCAAATTTGGGTGTAAACACTGTTGAAACTCACACCTGAAATAAAACACACAACAAACCCCAAAGCCCTGCAGCACATGACAATCCATCAACTCCAAGTCTTTGATCTGATGTGAGAAAATTCATTAGAACTCCAAACATGCCGATGACATCGCGGGAAACATCAAGAGAGGAGCTCAAAAACTCCCCACGTGGGCATTTTGTCTCCCTTGTGCTTGTCTGTGAACTCTGCAAGGGCTTATGAAATCAAAGTGGGAGAAAGCAAAGTAAATTAAAGACTCCCTAAACCAGTTCCAGTGAAGCTGCTGCTTTTCCAGACTCCTGGAGCAAATCACCTGAAAAGGCCAAATGGATAATGTCTGGGTTTCCTGAGCTAAATGGTACAAACCTAGAGTTACTGGGTCATATTTTTAGGGTTATTTTCACTGAATTGTTCAGGGTTTTGCACATTCAACAAGTTGACTAAAGGCTTAAACCAAAGCTTGAGGAGCTGAGCCTTGGGGAAGCAGCAAGTCCAACTCAGTCCTTCCTATTGACATTTGTATCAATTCCTCCAATTCGTCATTTAATGAACAGATCTGCCATGTGGTACTGCAGCAGAAGGGACTGACAGACTCAAAGTACAAATCAAATTAATAAGCCTTTGTAACAACTGACAAAATGCTGTGAACATTATATCTTGCTGTTCTGCCTCCAACCCCTCCTGATGCCTCATCATGCGACGCCCTGGTTGGGACTTGAGCCATTTGGACAGTATTAAAGTGGTTGCACTAACAAAAAAAAAAAGGAGCTAAACCAGAGATTTCAGATGAGTCACTATCAATGGTAAATGACAGATCAAGCTGTTGCTGCTTTTTCTCTCGTGTTTTTGGAGGCATCTAAATATAAAGTGTTAAGCTGGGAGGAAAGGGCTCCCTGGTCTCTGAGCAGCTTCTCACCTGGTAGAGCTGCGAAACCTCATACCTAAACCAGCACAGTGACTGGGACACACCAGTTCTGAGCTCTGGCTGAAGGCAGCAACAAGCCCCAGGAACACACAGGCTGTTCTTGGGATGTCTGCCTGACCAAGGGAACCTTTCTGTGCCAAAGTCCCCAGGTTGTGCCAAAGCATTGAAAAGGGCCAAGGCAACACCCCAACAACCCAAGTCCTCCCTCTCATGCCACCTGCACAGGGTCTCTTTCTCAGCTAGCATCCAAAGCATGTTCCAAGTGATGTCTGCTTCAGTTTTCACCTGGAAATCTCAGGTTTATGGTGGGGTCAGTTTGGTCTGTGCTGCTCATGTGCTGGGAATGACCTACAGACTCCTATAGCTAATCTCAACCTTTCCAAGGCAGGTCAGGGACAGGACCTGGCAAATCATGGAATGGTTTGGGTTG